GAATGACTTGGAGACATGAATGTAGTAGTAAAGAACTGGAATATTCCCATTCGACATCCCAGTATTCCAAAAGAAAACTGTCCACTGTAGAGCAGTTCGTTATTAATTAAAGAAAGTTAAAGAAGATATGCCTTAGAAATATGTTTCCTCGAGTTTATTATTGAGTTTTTATGACTTGCAAAACGACACACTTTGTTTTGGAGCCAGATCAGGATTTTTATTTCTTTGTAATCAGAGGTGCAGAGAACATCTTCCTCAGATAATCCAGTCATCTTCAAAACCATTAAAAGAAATCTGCCTCCAGATGTTGGATACTTTTATTTGTCCCTTACCTTAACATCTGTCAGGTGTTCTGTCTATAAAATACAGGTTATAATGGTGATCGTGACCTGTTTTTGTTTGTTTGTTTGTTGTTTGTGTGTGTGTGTGTGTTTTGCAAACTAGAGCCATCAATACAGCACCACTCATATCGAGAACACAGGAATAATGATGGATCACGACTGATTCACTTTGCTGGTTTCAGTACACACTGGTCAAAAACAATTTGAAGATAATTAATGATGGTTATGAGCCATTATTGTTGCTGCAGACAGAGACTGAAGTCACTTGGAGGAGTGACCACTGAAAACTCTTCGCCCAGAACGTTATTTTTATGAAAACATTAAATAAATGAATACATGAATGCATATACACACATTACATTAAATTAAAATTACTGAAGAAAAATAACACAAAAATAAAAGAATTGCCTTTCTGTAATTTCAATTAAGAATAAATCAAGATATTCTTAGATTTATTTAATTAAAAAAATGATTTAATATTACCAAGAAAAAATACTGCACAAATACCCAAGTAAAATAACAGTAATCTGATTAGAAAGCAGACAAGGTATAATAATTACGTATTTCTTTATTTTTACATGTGCAGGTGTCTTTTTGTTCTGGCCATCTGTTTCAATAAAGTTGTAACAAAAAAAAGAAAAAGAAAAACTCAACCACGTGATAGTGACTCTGGGTCATATGACGGAAATAAAACTGGCACAGTTTCGCGGAAAGGACCTAAAACGTCGTTTTGTTACCGAGCTACCTGTGGGACATTTGGACTTTGTGCAGTGATACTTTGTGTTGTTCCGTTTCTGGACACACAGTCAGGGGAACTGTAAATGTGACGCTCCTTCAACATCCTCATTCGAGCAGCTGCAGTTTGCGGAAGCTCACCTGTCTGTCATCATGCTAACCGTGTTTGTTGTTGTCGTTGCTCTTGTTTCTCAAACTGCGGCTCGCTACACCCCGGACTGGACGAGCCTGGACGCCAGGCCGTTGCCCTCATGGTACGACGAAGCCAAACTGGGAATTTTCATCCACTGGGGCGTGTTTTCTGTGCCCGGCTTTGGCAGCGAGTGGTTCTGGTGGCACTGGCAGGGCCAGCAGCCCCCGGACCAGAAATATGTGAACTACATGTCCCAGAACTACCCACCAGGCTTCACCTACCCAGAGTTTGCTCGTCAGTTTCACGCGCAGTTCTTCAATCCGGATGAGTGGGCGGATATTTTCAAAGCTTCTGGTGCAAAGTGAGTGTTTCTCTGTAATATTGTATCGTCTTTTTGACCCTCACCTTCTCTCAGTACACACATTATTACATTATTATTATTATTATTATTATTATTATTATTATTATTATTATTATTATTGCACAGTACATGTACCATGTGTTACTTGCACACCCTCGTCAATGCAGGTATGTGGTCCTGACTGCCAAACACCACGAAGGGTTTACTAACTGGGAGTCTCCAAACTCATGGAACTGGAATTCTGTTGATACTGGTCCTCACAGGGACCTGGTGGGAGACCTGGCAGAGGCAGTGCGCAACAGGTGAAAAACTTAAGTTACGATGCTAAAAAAAGGTGGTTATTGTTGACAGATGGGCTGACACTGATTTGCAGAGAAGGCCAGTCAGTTTTAACCCACTGCCTTCCTCCTACAGAGCTTCCTGTATTTTCATATCGATCAGCCTGTACAGAGCTCTTCACGTGTCAGTCGAGTGTCATTAACGATACAGAAAAGCTTTAAAGCTTCATATTTGTGGAACTTGCTTGTCGTAAACTTCTTTACCACCAGGTGATTGTTGGGTTAAGATCAATCGTTAATAATGTTGCGGCCATAGTGTATCAGTTGTAATAGTTGGTTAGATCAGATGTGTTCCCAAGTGATGTCATTTAAATTGCACGTATTGCCTTTTTTAAATAAATGTCTGTAATTTCCCCTCTTAGGTCACTGCACTATGGACTCTACAATTCCTTGTATGAGTGGTTCCACCCTCTCTATCTCATTGACAAGAAGAATGGCTTCAAAACGCAGGAGTTTGTGCTGCAGAAACTACTTCCAGAGCTTTATAACATGGTTGTAAGGTCTGTGGTGCTTAAAATATTGTGTCAGCTGATCGCACTTTATACATGTATGCCAGCAGTATATTTAAACCTTTGCTCTCCTGTTGCCTTGGAGGTATCGACCTGAAGTCATCTGGTCTGACGGAGACTGGGAAGCACCTGACACCTACTGGAACTCTACCGAATTCTTGGCCTGGCTCTACAACGAGAGCCCGGTTAAAGTGAGTGTCTTTATGACAAGGTAGTCATAGATGGTGCACTCACTTTTATTTTGAAAGTTCAGATGCTGCAAACCAGACATCCCCTGTGCTTCCTGGATTTTAGCTGTGGTGTATTGAACTGCAGGTAGCAAAAGTAGTCCTCATGATTGCCTGTCTGTCCTTTTCTTAGGATACCGTTGTGACTAATGACCGATGGGGAGCTGGCTGTGCCTGTAAACATGGCGGCTACTACAACTGCGAGGACAAGTACACGCCGGGCCAGCTGCCCACACACAAGTGGGAGAAATGCACATCTGTGGATACTCTTTCCTGGGGTTACCGTCGAAACATGAAGATGAACGAACTTTTGCCATTGGCTGCGCTTATCGAGGTGATAGTAGCACAGATATTAGCTTCTACATTTAAAGTTGAGGTTGTTTTTATTTGTATATGGCTATTATAGAATACCTTTAATCTTTGCTTGTGCATGCAGCCTTCAGGAAATACTTTTGTAATCATAATGACTGTATTTAATCAATTAATCCAAGCCAAGTGTGTTGTCCTTTTGTTCTGTTTATTTCTGATGGTTAGGCCATAATGGATCGGTAATCTTTTGCTCATCTGGACTGTAACACTGTTTTATTGCCTGTTTCCTCTTGTGTCTGCTGTTGCTTTGTTGCAGGATCTGGTCCGCACTGTGGCTTTTGGGGGTAACTACCTTCTGAATGTGGGTCCCACACCTGACGGGATGATCCCCCCTTTGTTTGAGGAGAGGCTAAGAGGTCTTGGAGACTGGCTGGAGGTCAACGGGAAGGCCATTTACTCTTCCAAACCCTGGAGGGTGCAGTCAGAAAACACCACTGTACCAGTTTGGTAAGAAAAAAGGGAGATGTATTTTTTTTCACTGTATTTTCTTGACTCTCAAGATGAGTCTATCGACAGTCTGTCAACTGTATGAGAGTTTTAGTGCAGTGGGAGAGCTAATCAGCTCTAATGCAGGTTACGGGGAGATACAGACAGGATGTGTACTGTTGTACTTGGCAACACGTATGTTAAATAGCATGGTGTTTGTTTCGATGTGGGAAAGCTGAGAATTTTCAGAGTAAAGTGCATAATAAAGCTTGCTATGATCGCCTGTATTGATCTAGTTAGGCAATGAGTCTGTGTTACCTTGCTTGGTCCACCAGTCCTGGTGATTTTTCCTTTGTTTGGTGCTGGTATTTTTGTATGCAGGAAAAAAAAACTCTGTAATGGTCTTCACTGTTCTAGGTATACATCTAAGGGGTTGACAGTCTATGCCATCCTAACAGCCAAACCCCCAATGAGCACAGTGAAACTGCTGGCACCCAAAGCTTCAGCCATCACACAGGTAAAGAAACAATGCTGTCCATGTTGTACTCAGAGTTGAAAAACATGAACAAATTTTTATTGATCTGTTTTTATCTCTTGCCCAGGTGTTCTTGGTGGGGAATCCCACACCTTTATCTTGGGCCCCAGTCAACCCCGGTGGTGGCCTTGTTGTCCTTTTGCCAGAGCTGCCTTACACTCCTGCTCAGGCATGGACGCTTGAACTGGACTTAGTGCAGTAAGCCAGCGGTCCCCGACCGGTACCGGTCCGTGAGTCGTTTGGTACCGGGCCATGAGAGTTGAGGCTCAGGTGTGAAATGTATGGTTTTCAGGGTTTTTATCGGTTTTCAGCGTTATTTTGTTATCGTTTTTATCGCTAATTTGGTTTTCCTGGGTCTTTTCACGGGTGTTATGAATAAATCTTCTTTTTTTCGGTACCTCTGCACTAGTTTTATTTTGTTGTATTTGTCCGCGACACCTTAAAGGCCGGTTCGTGAAAATATTGTCTGGCATAAACCGGTCCGTGGCGCAAAAAAGGTTGGGGACCGCTGCTGTAAGCTACGAACGCCCAAAATGTTGAATTATTTCAAGTGACTCAACTCAGGTTTTAATGATTTTAGATTAATGGGGAAACTCACAGTCTGTCTTGAAGGGAAAATACCCGTGTAATGAGTTTGTATCATTTCGCTTTGACGCTCTGAAGGCTTAAAGATTTACTGTCACTGTCTCAGTTGTGTTTGTTTTGTCATGAGAGTGTGTTTATGAATGAAAACGGGATTCTGCTGTTGAGCTTGGGGAGCTTTTCTGGCAGTTTCTCAGCTAAGTGCCGTTTCAGAAATGATTCATTATGCCTGCGGTTTGTTTTGAAAATGAGCAGATTATATATAAAGAACTTATTTTTTCTACTTGCCTCCTTTTGAAATTGGTGGAATAAAAGATAACTTGATTCATCTTCTAATTGTTCTGTTATTATTAAGCTTCCAATGCAGTCAGTCAGCAAGCAGGTATTTTAGCATTTGCTAAAGCATAAATGGTACTTTTATCCTCCTTCAATCTTTTTAATACATCAGTGCCTCAGTTGACAGTAACAAACCTGCGGCGCATGATACTGTTATAAGATCTGTACTAATGGATGACTGCATTGATGTTCTAACCCCTGAAGTGCCACAGGAGGTCCTTATTCCTATATAAGTAACCACTGACTGCTTTTAATTCTTAGGCTGTCCGAATTGACAAAAATGTCCCCTGAATGTGTCAGTCTGACTTTGCACTTAACTGAGAAGTGAATGACCACAGGGACTGAGCATTTGACAGAGAATGACAGCGTTAAATTGTTTTTGTCCTCTCCTTTAGGCTTTCTTAATAGGTTTATCTGGTCTACTTAGAATTTCTATTGTAAATCCTTCCAGGCGGTGACGGACGTGAGAAAAATGGAAAATCGGTTTGGAGAATCCTTATCATTGACCTCTACTTTGCATTTTAGCTGTGTGCTGTCGAGGTTAATACATCAATGCTGCAAAAAGATGTGAATCTATAAAGTGATTTACCCTTGAGTTTAATCTGAAATATTCATCATGAAAAATATATATATTTTTAAAACATCTAAAACTACTAAAAAGCTCAGAAAATGTATTCCATTTCCACTTCACCTTAGTCCCACAAAGGGAAATCGCATCACTGCCGAGACTATTGCGACCGTGTGTAATGAACAGAGATGGGCAGTAATGTGTTACTGTAATCAGATTACTTTTTCAAGGAATGAGTAAAGTAAGGGATTAATATTGCGAAAAAGTAATTAGATTACTGTTACTTTCCCATAAGCACGCTGCGTAACTGCGTTACTAAACTGTGATTTTGTTTGTGAGAGTGTCTCATGACAATGATGTAAAAGCGTGCGACACCCGTGGCAGCAACAGACATGTGCAGATCAACAAGGAAAATATGGAGTGCAGGAGAGAGAGTACGACCATGCAGCGTTTAGAGCGTGGATGTACTGACATTACTTTGAATTTTATTCCATAAAAAGTGACAAAAACATTAGTGTCCGCTGTACACTTCTTTCTAGAGCAAAAAATTAAACTTCAAATCTGAACAAGCATCTAGCAAGCCACCACAGGAATGTGAAATTCATAGAGAAACCCCCGGATCCCCCCACTGACATGACCGCTGTGGCACCAGGCAAACCTACACTGGCCCCACTCCTGCTGAGAACGATAGGACTTAGTGCCGCTGAATCTTTGATTTTATTTATTTTTTGCTGTGTTTTACTTGCATCTATTTGAAAGAGTGAATGTAAAAACAAAACATTTTATTTTATATGCTGGAATGTACAGATAATAGGTTTAAATGCTAAACAAATTTCTTCAAGTCAGAGAATGTTGCATATAATTACATTTTTGCTTGATGAATAAAGTTGCAGTTGCAAATATGCAGAAAAAATAGAATTGGGCTGAAAGGTCTATTGTTTATTACGTATTCAGGTTGTCTATCATGTAACTAAGTAATAAAGTAACTAATTACTTCTGAAAATAAGTAATCAGTAAAGTAACTTGATTACTTTCTTGGATAATTAATCAGTAATTACTTCTAACTAATAATTAATTACTATTTTCAAGTAACTTGACCAACACTGGTAATGAACTTGTCAACTTTCTCTTGCAGTGGTTGCTTCGAAGATGGCCATCAGATCCAAGAGCTACTCGGCTTCGTTTGTCTTTTACATACATAAATATACATACATACATTTATATAAATATAAATATATTAGTGGCAATTAATCCTCCTAAGACCCGAACTCTTCCACGGCATGCATTTTTGATTTCTCTTTGATATTTGGGCATATTGGGACCCAATGTAAAAACAAAGAATGACCAGATATATATATTTTTTTACCTAATTTTTGTTTCTAAGAAAACGAGAGCCACATATGAGGATATTCGTTTAAAATTTCGATAGAACAGTAGCAGTATATTGTCCTCGTAAGTGGATATCAGGCCCTTGTAGAGCAAAATTGAGTATTTTGGTCTAAATAACCCAAAATGTGATGTGACATATGTGGATGCCAGGTCCTAGGAGGTTAATCCTCCTGTTATCACATTTGTATTCATGTCAGATTCTTTTAAAACTTGTTGCTAAAGTTCTTTGGGAGTTTTCCCATATAAGACACACAGTTTGAGAAGTTAGACACCCCCACCCATGTTTTGTTGGTTGGTTCCCTGCTTACAATAGTCACAAACTGCACAAATTTATTCAGCAAAAAAATTCAGGTCTCTTCCTGACATCTGACTTTCAGATTAACCCAAGAGTCAAAGACTATTTATGTCAAAACCAGCCTGTGACTTGGAGTCTCCACTGGTTGCATGCAGTGGCGGATCTAAAAGGGTGGCATGGGGTGGCAAGTGCCACCCTAAAATGATCCCTTGCCACCCCAAGTGCCACCCCAGTTTTCCATATGACAGTTTTGTTTATTCAAATAAGATAGCATTAACAGTTTGAGCGTAGTTACAGTCAGCAGTGAATATAAATGCTAAAACTGAATATATTGCATAGTGTTTCCCCCTTCCACCATTAACAAATGGTTCAGCCCATAGCAGGACCGGCTTTTTTCTTGTTTTCAGTAGCAAGCGATGATTATGATTGTGCCAGAGCACATTTTGAACAACACCATGGGTGGCTGGATGTTACAGTCTGGAAATGGAAGGATGGTGAGTGTTATTAACCCTCTGTGGTCCACGGACACGCTGCACCTCCAAATCACATGACTGACGTAAGCTGACATAGCAACAGGCTGCAGCCAGGCAGCGAGACAGGGCGAGCGAGTGAGAGAGAGCGAGAGAGTTTTTAGATGTGGGAGATTTGTGACGTTTAGTGTGGAGTGTATAAGTGTGTTGTGTTGTCTTGTATAGTTGTTCTGTTGTGTAGTCGTTTTGTTGTGTGTGTCAGTGAGGGCACTAATTAATGTCACTGAGGCACATTTGCAACGTAAACACTGTCACTAAGTAGAAAACCAGCGGAGTGATACACCTCCTGTTGTCAGGCCTGCAGGTTTGTCCCTGTGCTGTTCTCCTCTGTTGTTTATGTTTACAAAATGTACATTTTATATTTGCATTTCAAGTTATAAAAATTTACTCAACATGTCTGTGTTTTTTATTTTACAGTAAAGAAATACTACTAGGATTTTAAGTTCTTTGTGTGATTTCAGATCAGTAATACTAATGCAGTATGTCAGTGAAAAAAACAGCTAAATTCAGTTGAGCTGAAAAGAATGATACCAAACAAGGCAAGGGGGGAAAAATAAAATGAAACAATTTGAGGGTGAAATACAAACGTAAACTCAAAAGGAGTCAAAAATGGCCGGTTGTATTTCAGACCTCAGAGGGTTAATCCAACAAATCGTGAAAAATTAGGTTTAAATCTTTGTTCATGACAGTGCAAATTTCTGACATTTTGTGTAATTTAAGCTGTAACAATGTGATTGTTTTCTAACAAAAAACAGTGTGAAATTTAAGTTAGACTTCTGTTTGTAAATGAACCGCCCCATGTTGTGTAGCTTTCTGGGTTTTATAGTTATTGGGCTACATATTTATTTATTATACAGGCTATACAGTACATAAGATCAAAACTCGCATGTTTTATGTCACTAAAGTGTGTAATTATGTGGGCTACAGACAATAATTAAGTTCTAGACTATATTTATATGAAAAACGTGTATACTTACTGCATTTGAATTATTTTAACCACATGTAACCACCTGCATATGTGTTTGAAAAAAAAAAGGCTTTGATTTTGCCACCCCATTTGATTTCTTTGCCACCCTAAGAAAATTTCTCTCAATCCGCCCCTGGTTGCATGGCAACTGCGAAGGCCAAGACCATGTCATAATTGCCCGTAAGGCACAATGTCATTTTCACATTTCGATTTTTTGGATGAGTTGCATCAATCTTATCCTGTAATCCTAGCAGATCCATTTAAGTCAGAAGACTGTTTCCTGTCTTTCATTGCTGGCTTGAAGCAGGTGAGGCCCGGGGCCGATGAAATATGATTAGGGTGACATGCACTTTATATATTCTCACCTACTTATTTGGTCATTAATCAGAAAAATCAACACACACAAAGAAGACGCAGCACCCACTCATTTACCTCGCTAAAATAGCTTTATAATAATCATATTAATAGTAATAATATTAGCCATTAGAAAATGTTTCGACAACGTTGACAGTGTTACATTCTGTGTTGGGGTAAACCACGTCACAGTGTGCCATCTCTCTGGGCTTTCAGCGCTGTCAGGCGTGCTCCTTTCGACACATCCAGACCCATGAGTCATTGTGAAATCCAGAAAATCAATTTGTATGTACAAAATGAGAAGCACAACACAACAAACAGAATCAGGATGTACACCGGGCATCGTCCTCCACCGCCGTCCAGCACGTGTTCGGATCGCTGTGTTCATGCACGTTGTGTACTCACTGGTGGCAATGTGAAAGTCCATATTTTATGGCATCTCTATTGCTATATGCTCCAGTCAATTCTTTTTCTTTATAGGATGAAAAAAACCCAAAAAAACCCAAATAAAGCAAAACAAAAGCATTTAATGATTTAACTGTACAATTTACTGTCTTGGCACTGAATCGAACGTGTATAAAACAAGTAAGCACGACAATAAAGCTGAGCTTAAAGACAGAAAAGCTTAATGTGTCAAACCCGTCTGATTTAGAAATCATGGTGAGACATGAAAGAGAAGGAGACGAGGGGGCTATTGTGTTTTTTTGCTACATTATAGAGTAGAACACAGAGAGTCGAGCGTCTTATCAGTTTGAAGTCTGTGTTTTGTCTCTGTTGTGGCAGCGCTAAGAGTTCAGAGTGGAGTAAAAGCACACGGAGAAAGAAGGTCTTAGGTCTGGGTCTTCTATTCGCCCCACCTGTTCAGTGCTTACTTTTCTCTTGGTGATCTCACCCCGCACGGGAGTGTCCATCCGTGATCCCAGAGAAAAATATCTTCCCAGAGTTATTGTCAGTTTCCTCTTCCTCTACTCCATCTCCTTAGTAGCAGCGATTTATTTACTTTCTCGTTAGATATTAAACTTTTTCTTCTAGTTTTTGTTTTGTTATTGTACACAAGACTCATCCTTGAATATAGAACAATGTTTACCCCATGGCTGTGACTGACAACACCGTTTGTAATAATGGAAGGGATGGCAATTATTAACCATTTTAATGACAGCAATCATACTAATAATCATGACGTAATAACAATATGTGTAATATTGAGAAGAGCAACGTCTGTTGGTAACAGGTATTTACATTGTTGTAAACACGACGGTGGCAGGGTATCATTTTTGTTAATTACACAGTAATTGCTCAGTTTTCTCTGATCTGCATGGCTAACCGTGTCTACTGTAAAGCGACATTACAGTGCTAATACGCACACATACAGAAGTACACCTCAGTGCTAAAGGCACATTGGAGTTTCAGTTAAACATCTGCTTGGCACTGAGCTGCTCTGGAGGCAGAAAGGAAGCAACATAGAACATTTAAGGAAGCGTGCTTAACATTTAGGACCTTTTGATAATGCAAACATTTTTTTTTTATTAGATATGGACTCAGCTTTTCAGGAATAGTTGCTTAGTGTATTAAGACTGTAATCACCTCTGCTAATTCCTTAGTCTGAACTTAAATTTCCAGCTAAACACGAGTACGTGAGAAGAATTGATGCAATCCAGCATGCTTATGTAACAGGGTCATAAATCGCATTGTTATAATTACACAAAATGTGTTCTAAACCCCCAAACCGTTCCTTTTATACCTGACTTTTAGGACCTCCAAGCCTGTAGTTATGTTCATTATCATTTAGAGGCCGTCCTCATTCTTTTCTTCTTCTTCTTTGGTGCAATCCTATAAATACAGTGTACCCCTTCGGCCTCTCCCCTTTTCTACAATTCCCCTGTGGGAGAGGTGGGTGTCATTTCTTTCCAACACTTTAAAACACACATATAATGCATATTTAGCCACCTGGATGTTTCTGATTGTGATTTTAGTTCAATTATTGTCATTATTAAGCCTGTTTTTGTTAGATGTTATAAGTGTGTAGTATGTGTGTATCACAAATGTGTTTTAGGCGCCATAAATGCTATCATGAATATATACTTCTTGCTAGCTTGGAAGTTGTGGTGGGTTGAGCTAACCCTCTTCCCCACTGTTTGTATTTGGTCGTAGGAGCTGGAGTGGGCAAATTATTTACTTGGAGGTCTTTCTTTCTTTTACCTTTTTTTTATCAGGTATGTCGGATTTCATGTTGTTGTTTTTGTTTTATCTTATGTCAAATATGTTACGTGTAAATGCATACTTTATGTTTAATGTAAAAATAATGTAAAAATTTATGTAAAAATAAATGCCGCCCTTTTCTACAATTCCCCTGTGGGAGAGGAGCTGGAGTGGGCAAATTATTTACTTGGAGGTCTTTCTTTCTTTTACCTTTTTTATCAGACACAACGCAGAATCACACCGGTTACACTTATATGTAACTGCTAGCAGTCTCATTAGGCTGGATCCACATATACATTTGAAAAACAATTCTGTATGTAATAAATGTGTATATTTTAGTTCTACTAGTAGAGCTTTGATCTTTTGATGATATATTGGGTCTTGATACAACCTGTCTGCTCATTTGTTTCAGCTTCAAATTCCTATAAACCAACTTTCCTCTGACTGGCCTTTTCTCGCAAACAGAAGGGTTGAACTGAAGGTGGGTGGGGCTTCTGTGCTCACAGCCATGAGCTGTGCACCTGAGATGGCCATATTAGGGATACCTGATGTCTTCTATATCCTACGGAGCCAAGAACAGAAAAACCATCAGAAACCAGTGCTTATTTCAGTTTTTGTTTTGTATAGTCTTTTACCACTGTAACAGTTTATATAGGACCAAAACATGGAAACATATATTAACCCCCACGTCTTTAAATAAGCTAAGTTTGATGTATGAGTTTGAATAATGTTACAGCCTCCATATCTCTCCACACTGATCTTATTTTCAAATGGTTTCCAATTCGCTCGCCTGTATCCTAGCACTGCTAATGCTAAGCAAATATTTCCTATTGCTGTTGGTTAAAAGTATTCAAATGCGGATAATTGTCTGAAAATGTTTTTTTTTTCACACATTTGATCACCTTTAAATATTGCTGAGAATAATGACACAAACGAAATGTTTTTAGAAAATTGCCCCCTCTGCTTCTCGTAATGAGGGTTAATTCAGTGACTTAGCTTTTTCCTCCAGAGCAGCTCTGTCTCACAGAAATGTAAAATTAAAACTCAAATCTGCTGCTACTACACCCCTCCAGCTTCAGTCTGTTGCAGATGCACAGCACACAGCAAATGCACACACGTAGCACATCGGCTACGATCGCCTCCATCGCCAGCACCTGCACGTTACCGCGCTGCGCTTTCAAGTCTCGGTGAATGGCTGAAAGAGAATCTGGGCTCAAAAGACGTGTGATTTCCACACTTTCAGAGAATATTAACAACATCCTGCAGGGCTGGTCTGACGCTGTATGTTCAGGGTCTGTTGGTTGAGAATCCCCTGAGGACAGAGGCCTGGGTTGGGGATTGGAGACACTGCTGCTAGAAACTGAGGTACTGAGAGTTGGCTTATCCATCTGGCTGTCCACGTGGGGTTTTTGCACTTACAGAAAGAGGTGAAAAGGTTCATATAGCAGTCTGTCTGTTGTGTCGGTGAGTGGTCAGGTCATGTTTGTACAACTCCAGTGTACTGTGCAGATATCGAACAACGAATAGATACAGTAAAGAACGCAAACCGTGGAAATCACAACCACCAGAAGTGTGTTTTCAGTGGACCTGTTATCACAAGGCAAGGTGGCTGGCTAACACCTCAAATTATGATAAACAATGGAGGAGAATGTCAGCGAGAACCGAAGACAAAGTAGTAGGAGTAGTTGTTGCTACTGTGGATAAATATCCAACAAAGCCTTTAAAGATTCCTGGAGCCCCTCGAGGCCAACTCATAATGGAAAGACCTTGCCATCCCTCTGAATGTAGCTTTGAGGATTGCGAGGGTGGAGTCAAGAGTCCTTCACAGTGGAGTTACAGTAATAAAGCAGGTCTTTGTGCTTTGTTTCATGAGGGCTGGGTCAAAAACGCAGCTGAAATGTTGTCAAGTTTCAGGGAGAGAGGATCACGGGGATAAAAAGGCCGCTCTCTGAACCGCACGCCTTCAAACGAATTAAACATAAAATCGGCCGTTTCACATGGAGGCTGTTAAGCGCATCGCCTCGGAGTCGAACCGAAACATCGATTGCGGTTTTCAAGGACATCGACATCAGTGTCCTCCGAGGATGTGATCGTTGTACAAAGACAGTGTAAAATCCTACCAATTTGTTTTTGTTTGAAATCACAAAAAAAGGCTACAAAAGGTGCTTTCCTTTTATCGGTCAAAAAAACAAACCCCATTAGATTCTGCTAAAGGAAGCTGTAATAAAGCATGCAGTATTAACATCAATAGAATTTGCCAGTCTTGTGTGGGTATTGCAAGTGAAAGTGGGGGAGATCAAAGATGGCGTGTCAGTACAGTAAAAAGAGTTTCTTTAACAATATTCTCTGTATATTTTATACTTTTCTATTTACATTTCTTTATATACTGTAAACTGTGTTCAAAGGAAACCTCCACATATAGCTGGTTAGGCACATGTAGTTGGCTCTAAAGAGGAAATACAGGAAGGGGATACAGCAGTATATGTCATTAGAACCACAGAAGAAGATATACAGTAGGCCTAAGGAGGCTCACACTTGGCAATTAACACTCTTGCCAGTTATACCCTGTGAACCTGACTCACACACTGAAGATAATAATATTCATTTGAGATTCTTTTTCACATGTACTGAGTCTGGATATGCCACACAACTGTAGTATCACACAATGCTATAATCTATCATAATAATACTGTAGAATTTCACATTTGATATATGCTTTTTTTTAAATTCGTACATATACTGTACTCAATAATCTCTACTAATCTAGAAATGTGGATTATATTATAAAATATACATCTCCCAATAAAATATCCCATTTTTCCAACACATTCCATCCAAATATTAGAAAAAAAGAAAAAACAGGTCATGCTAAAATATTTTTCAAATTTAAGTGTGTGTGGGTTTTTTTTTTTTTTTTCTATCGTCAAAATGGCAGATTTGGACTTTTTAGTATTCGCTGGGCTTCGTCACATGTCCCTTGTGACTCGCAGCCCTTTGTAAGCATTAATTCCAGTGCATTCACACACACACATGCCATTTTTCTGTGCAACATCCATACAAAACACTTGTATCAGAAATATCTGTTATGAAGTAGATTTGTAAATGTGGCCCCCTTCGAAAACTCTTCAAATCGTGCTACACTTTTCAGAGCAGAGACCACAGAGAAGAGAATTTCAGGAAGTCAATAACGAGAAACAAAGCACGCACACGTCCACTCAATCAAGTATTAGCTAATTTCACCACAGTTGCCAGACCCTGTCTGGCAGCTCGGCGGTTTCCTGTGTTTGATGTCTCTTTGGGGAGGTTTCGTAGGGCACTGCTGTTCACTGAATACCACTCCTTTTTGTTTACTTCCCTTCAGAGAAATCATCCCTTCTTTGTAATCAGGGCTCTGTGAGATTGAGAGGACGGCACTTTGAGTTAGGCAAGCAGATTCTGCTGAAGACTTTGACGGTTCTTTTATTTTGCGATCCGCTGCCCTCTTAATTAAGCAGTAGGGGGAAATCCACTCAAACAATTTCTAAGAGAAGAGAAAATGCACTGCGCACTTGGGAAAGCACTGATTAAGTGCAAAAAAGCACAAAAAACAACAACAAAAAGAGCCCCACCCCACCCAAAAACCCCTCATCTTCTGTCATGGCTGTTTCATTGGGGTGTCTGTTAATTCCTGACTGAAGTGGCGAGAACTTCCTACAGACCATTGTTATTAGTTTGGGTCCTCATTTAACCACTTGGTGGTGCTATAGTCTCACAGTGAAAAAGGGAGCTTTCTCAGCAGAGTCCTGAAAAGCCTTGGAAAATATATTCTCCCCTAAAAGCTCACAGAAACCCCACCCCTGAACGCTTGAAACTTCAGAAGGACTACATAAGAAGCAAACGGCTTCTCTCCCCTAGTTTTTTATTTATTTTATGTCTGCAGTGCTCTCTAGCCATCAAGGCTGTGATGCTACACTGCAAAAGCTCCTTCTGGCAAACATGACTGTGCACTCTATGTACAAATAGCACTTGCCCGTTCAAACAGCCTCACTGCTGAATGCTGAGGGTAGTCAAACAAAAACACGGGATTTGAGGAATGAAAGAGAGAAACTTAAAGTGATTTCATACTCTCTGACTGGGTGTCGCCGGGGACAGATGGCACCTGGGTGAAAGGTGCAAGCTGTAGTTGGCTGACAACGACTGGGAGGGATGTTCTTTGGGGTTTGCCAGCCATCTGACTTTAAGGGCATTAGAACCGATGCTGAATTCATCCATGTTTGTTCATCCACACCGGTAGCATCAGTCAAGCGAATGGACACATCTTGTATGTGATTAAGAAACCTCACAAAGAAGGATGAGGTTTTACTGCACGCGGCATCCATACAGGGAGATTCTGTATGAGTTCTTGTATCTGTTAAGCCCTTGATTTTTCAGTGATGGAGATGTGCTCGGTAAACACGCACAGGCATGCTACTACTGCGTGAACCTCGGTTGGTTATAAAAGTGGACTGCTGTTTGTCTTCAGCCATAATATTAATCAAAAACAAAAACAAAAAAAAGACTTAAAAATGTCTGCTAGCTAGCTACCATTCCAGGTTTAGGCCTCTGTGTCTGTAAAATATCCAAATTTCAAGACACTACGATGGCTGTCATTGCTTGTTTAATGAGTATGATAACTGATTTGGATGGAAATGCTAGAGGGGAGTAGCGCATTAACAGCGTGCGGATCCAAAACTGGGCTCGGAGACAGACTGAGATTGGTGCGCGGGCCAGCTTTGCAGGGGGTGAGGGTGGGTGAGAAGGTGGGAGGGAAACACCTCAGCTCGGTGTTCAGAGTCGAGTCTGGGCTTCGGGGATGTAGATCTCGATACTGTCGGCGCTCTCTGTTGCTGAGTTCTGCCTGAAGGAGGCAGTGCGCCGGGTCTGCAGCAGCCGCCTCCTCGCTTCTGTCCTCTGACGGTCCCCGAGGTCCATTGACTTCTCCCTGATGGGCAGGGTGTGCCCACCGACGCGAGGCACCACCAGGCCCCCTGACCCACCTCCTCCTCCACCTCCAGCAACCCCATCCCCAACGCTATCAGCCCGGAGACTGCCACTCACCCCACCTGCTGGCTTCTTTGGTAAGGGTGGAGGAAGCTTCTTGTCCTCCTAGCCCAGTCGTGGTGATCAGGTGAACAGGCAGTGGATTAACCGAGAGGGGGGAAAAATATGGTTTTGTATGGTTGTGTAGAAGGAATCCCATGCAAAAACAAGAGGAGATAGAGGGAGGATGAAAACCCAACAAAAAGGTAAGAAAATCCAACATAAAGGGCAAAAATTCAAGTGAGGAAGAATCACGGACCGAAACATAACGACAAAGCACATAAAATCAGCAAAAAAACATCTCAGCATGCGTTGGCGTTGGGTGAAGTAAAAGGCAATGAAATGGGAGAAGGTAAACAGAGGTAATGCACAAAGAAAAAGAAGAAAAGAGAAACAATTGTTAGTTTGTTGTTGACTGAATAATGTTGATCAGTGAGTAGCCAAGCCTATATAGGAAATAATGTAATACGCTGCATTAAATGCAAAAGACTTCTAGCACATTTTGGATTTCACAGTCTTGTGGGCAGCTCAGCTCAGCTCAGTTCCTCTTGCTGTTCTGTATTTTCACAGCCTGCAGAGGCTTGGAGGGCACAACCATCTGCGCTACTCGCCTGCACACTGCCATCTTAGCTCTGGGGGAGTGCTGAAGGGAAACCAGGGTGGTTTGGACCTCCGGGTCTCTCACCTTCTTTTCAGGCGGGAGCCTCCAACCAGAGTCCTTGAGCCTCTGGAGATCCTGAAACTTGACCCTGACGTCCTCTATATTGAGCTGGAGCAGGTCCCAGAAGGCAGCCAGGTCCTGAGACGTGGGCTGAGGGTAGGCTGATGGGTCCTGGGTGTGCGGGGGGAGACAGGACTTAACAAGTAACGGATGGCAAAGCATTACATGGGGATTTACAGACTAATTTCACCGGTGAAGTGTTTGCAGCTGAGCAAATCTAGCCCTTTAGCGAATTACAGCAAAAATTATGCGCCATATGTAATGTCATGATTTTGCATGCAATCACACATACTCACCACACTCTGTTGGCAGAGGCGGAAGAACTGCTGGACTTTCTGAGACATGAGCATCTGGGCACTGCCAACTGCGTTTCGAATCAGTTCAAGAACTAGATGGGAAAGAGCACACACGTAGTTTGAGAAACCCAAGAATTATTCATTGTTAATCTTCATCTGGAGTCGTCCTCTCGCACTCACTCTCCTCCGGAAGTTCGTTCTCCTCTGCTTCTCTCTCCATGTTCTGGCACCAGCCCTCCATCCTCTCCACCTCTGTCTGCAGGAGGCGTAAGAAGAACTCTCCATCTCTCATGCAGGGAGAGGCTCGGCCCGAGTCGGGCAGGCTCCGGGGACCCTCTAGGGACGGTGTCCCCGCCCAAGCTCGCTCAGAGGTAATGGGGAGAGGAGAGTGGGAACGTGGAGGCAGGTGCGGTTGCTGGTGGGGCCGTGTGTCAGCTTGACAGGCCTCAGTGGTGTAGCCAGTCTGGATAAAGTCCTGGGATAACATAAGAACAAAAAAGCCTGTTTTCGAACCACTGCTGAACCTCAGCCACTATTTATACTAGTATTAATGCCACAAATGTGCAGTGTGGACTCAAATTTTGATCCAGTTTAAATATACCCAATGAGATTTTTATATTTAATCATAAATAGCACTACTGAATAATTTGTTTTTAAGCAAATCCTTCTGCCATGCAAATACACAAGGACACACTCACGGCCAGCTCCACTGCCATTGCTATTTAAAGCTTTTACTTTACAGACAGTACCAGTGAGAAAAAGATATGTGCTCTTAAAGGCAGGGAAGCTGACAAGTGCAATCTAGAAGACCCAGGGTACTCTTCCAGCAACATTAGCCAAGTTAATAACCAAGAAAGTTACCTGACAGCTAATGTTAATATACTAATGTAAATGTTTTGTGTGTCTAAACCATAGTAATTAAAGCTGTCAAACTCTTTCCTCAGAAATGAGTGGAACTATAAAGTGTTATACAGGGGGGAAAATGATGAAAGTGCAGTACTGATACCTCAGTGCTGTACCTAAATACAGTATTTGAGCAAATTACATTTCAGCCTTGACAGGATAAAATCTAACAAGACTAGAGAAAACCTGCCTCCAGGTGTCTTCAGCTGTTTCCGTCTATATTACTCTCAGCCCCAAGGCTGATCTGTCAGGTCTGCCAGCAAATGAGTAGTTCAGATTGCAAAATATTCAGAAAAAATGTTGATTTTCAGGTGTTGTATAAGGAAGAAAATGTCTTTTAATTGTAAGATTGCAAGTTAATTAAACACCGAATACACCATGAATTTCTATCCATCAACCCGAGGACATGCAAACATGTCGGGTGTCCCCACAACCTGCTGTCAGTGTTGCCACTATCAAAATAATCATGCGCATATAAGGACTTTGTCATTTACTATGTCTAAATGAAGCCCAGAGGAGCATTAAAGTGAAAGTGGCAAAAGTTTTCCTTCAGAGATCAATGAAGCCAAAATGTTACGTATTTGATTGTTTCTGTAAAACTTCAACAGCTGCCTGTGATCCTACAGGAGAATTGCTCACTCCTACCTCTTTGTAGGCCCACTGTCCCTGTGTGTGGACGGTGCGATGGCACTCTGTATACTGGCTGGCGGACTCGGGCTCAGACGAGTGCCTTTGGAAGGAGCAGCCAAACTGGAGGCTTTTGTCCTGCATCGGCACAGCAATGCTCAATCCCGGGAAGCCCTCGGGGTCCAGGTCGGCTTGCACGCTCGCCGTAACGCTGTTGGAGCGCTTGAAACGAGCTCTCCTGCAGGACAGGGAGTCAATGCAGTCCCAGAGAAATCGAGTCACACGGAGAACTATATGCAAATGCTTACTTATAGTGTTATTTTTTTTGGCTTCTATTAACTGCACGTTCTTCTTTGAGTAAGGCTGCCATGTCACTGCACTCACTACTACTCACTTGGTTATGATAAGACCTGCTAAATCCTCTGGCATATGACGCACCAGTGTGGGCAAAATGTCACGTCGGTGGACTGGGCGATGATCGTTAACTCTATTACAAGTTTATACCCCACCTCCTCCTCCTCACCCTTCTTTCCTGTCTGATGAGGGGTGACTCAGATTTTCGTTATCAGTCCGCTGTTTTCTGAGATGTCACGCTGTCGCGCTCGACGGGCAAGTGTGACGGGCGTTTGGGGGGGGGGGGGGACTTTGTTAAGGGATGCATGATCACAAACCGCTCGGGGGTTTGGAAGTATGCGATGCCACGAGTGTTTGCATGCATGCGTGCAAATCTGACCTGCAGGCAAAGCTGGATATAATTAGGAGATGGGTTGAGTCACGTGCGAAAGTCATGTAGAGTGTATGATTTGCAGTAGTCATGGTTACACTCACTAATGGCTGAAAAACAAGACATTCTTGGAAGAAAGTGTTGCCGAGTTCAAGCTGTGATCTCTGATGAAATGTTAAATGAAATAATAGGATCTAGCCTAGAAATCAACCATAGGTGGCTGCTCTGTTGGGCGCTCAGGAGACGAAGGCTTTTTTTTTCAAATTGTAAATGAAAATTATTCACATAAATTAGTGTGCAAAGACCAAAAGTTCTTGATGAAGCTACATATTTTGGAGCAAAGATAAATTAGCGAGATAAACAAACACGTCTTATTTTGCAAGTTTGTTTCTTTTTATAATGAAAGCAGCTTAAATGTCAGGCAAAATAAACAGCTCGTGTTTAGACTTGATTTTAAAGATGAGTAGTTTTTCTGCCGCTTTGATTTTTACTTTCCTGGTACCTTTTGTCGTCTTCCACTTGGACCCCTACAGAATGGACCTCGGTCAGAGCTTTGCCCTCCGTGTCGGAATCTGAAAGGGTCTCTGAGCTATCCACCTGCAGCAGAGGAAGACACGAGCACCACAGTCAGAGTGGAGAGAATGAAATCGGAAACCTCACCCTGCCCTGCTGAACATATAGGGAATATATAATGCAGTGTTGCATGGATGCATGTGAACAGCAGAGGTTCAAAACCGTTTCATCTGCATTCATATCCTCCCTAGAACCAAGAAAAAGAATCTTCCCATTGAACTTTATTTGTGATTTCCTTCCTCTTTGGTGCTAAAAGAGGCAAACCAAACACATGAGATATCAATGGAAAGTCCAGGATGTCCTTTATTTAGTACATCACGACTTAGTAGGGTAGATAGGCTGGTTCTCAGGAGGACACAATTCCACGCCTGAGAGTTTGTAACGACATTTATTGAGAGCTCTGACAGGATGACCAGACACACCGATCGTGTTACAATCCTGGATTGAGCTAGTAATGACATCATAATAATGGGATACTACTGTGTAGTAGAAATAGTACTTAAGCTATTTGACTTTGGTAAAAGTGTTTAAACTTTTGAGTTTAATTAGGTTTGACTGGTGATTCTATTCAGGCCATTTTTATGTCCATGCGACTACTGTATGACAACTAGTGTTGAGGCTCTGTTCATTCATTTAGAGGGGAAAAATAACTAACCATCTCTGAAGACATGTCAGAGATGAATGTCCCTATTTAATAAAAGCATAGCTCTATAGCAGAATATTGATGCCACTCCCAAGCTTGTATGCTAATTATGGATCTATAGCCTTTTGAATAGCTAAGCTTTGCACCTAGATCGCAGGAAAGTCTTCACATGGAGCAGAAAATGGTTTGCAGCTACTAACGCTGAGGGATTATGCATGTTCTTTGTGTAAATGGACTGTATTTCGAGTGGTGCTGAAACCATTTTTCTCTTGGCTTAGCTGAGTTGAAAATTAGCATCTGTAAAGCTTGCCTGTAAAGTTATTCACCAAGCCAAAAAACCAAACATCCTCGGGAAGAACTGAGGGGGCTGGAGTGCAGTGATTAGTTCACAGCCTTTAACTGTGCAAACTACTGCGCCTTCATCAGAGATTCCAAGCATCTGCCTGTTCGGCATTTGTGGACAAAGGATACAGTTTAACCAAAACAAGCAGTTTGAAGACTTGCAGTTTTCATTATTTTCTATCATCTTTTAGAGAGCCTAATCTAAATAAATGAAAATAAAAAACTGGCAGAAGACAGTAAAGGCATATTTTTTTGTTTTCCTCTCACCTGCACAGCTATGGATGGCCTCCACTTTCTGACAGCACGCCCTTCGTCCTGCCCTCCAGCTTTACTCAGCATGATGCTGTTCTGAGGCAGAGAGGCTGATTTCCCCAGACTACCTCCCCCTCTGCCATCCCTCTCTCTTGCTGGCCTTGGCGGTCCCTCCAGAAGGCTGTCAGCTGAGCTGCTGTGTTTGGCTCTCACCCCGACTCCAGGACCCCCTCCATAGGGCACCAGCTCTCTTGAGCCCCGAACCCCGTCCAGGCTCTCTGCGGAGTTGCTGTGCTGTCGGGAATGCCCGGGTCCGCTGCCGATGTAGTACCCTCCTCTGGAGGTGCGGCCCGATGGGCCGTCAGAGTTACCCAGGTCCACGGAGTTGCTGTGCTGCTTGGGGCGTCCGGGACCGGAGCTTGAGACCAACTGCCCGCTGCTCTGGAAGTAGGCATCCTGGGTGGACTCTGTGCTGCTCTGGGCTCGCACCGAAAGTGAAGACTTTGACATGCGGGGTGGGAGTGGAGGAGGAGCACCTTTACGATAGGGAAAGACTGAAGTGTCAGAAGAGCAGGGGAAAAGGAAGACAAAGGCACAGTGGGCTGTTAAAAGCAAAATGGGTAATATATCAACAGGGAGCGGGGGAAGGTGGATACTTACAAAAGGGACAGACTGGAAGGAGAATGTGACAGGAAAGTTAAGGAGTGAAAAAAATAGGAAAGCGGTTGACATAAAGAGGCAAACAAACATGGAAAGGAGGAGAGAACAACGATAAAGCCATTAAGAATTACAGCCAGTGTAAGATGGAAGAGGAAAGACACAAAAGTGCAACTTCTTTTCATTAAAAAACAGCTTTTAGTATAAATTTCAGTGAGTGGCAGTGGAAAAGACAGACATGATAGCGAAGCAAAAACCTCTTCCCCGCAGCTAATTTAACTCTTAAGAAGACAGAGCATTTTCCTGAGAGCAATATTTAAGAAAGACATGCACGATCTGTCTCACTCACAGTTTCTTTAAATATATATTTGAACAGAGTTTATTTTCAGAGTGCAGAGATGCTCACTCCAAAGCTGCAACCCACCCTGTGTGCATAATCAGTGTTGTTGTGTGACTTGGTGTACCAGGGAGGGGTCTGTGCTGAAAGTGGATAACACTTCACAGAGGCTTTAGGAAACACTGGATGGATTTTGTGGCAAATAAAAACAGCCGAATATTAGGCTTAAGCATTATTGGGAAGACTTGTCAAAGCAAACATCATCAAGAGTGAAACCAAAAGACAGAGACAAAAAGGCAGCTGGAGACACTGAGCTATCATCATAATCACATGGGTTCCTGTACCTATTTCTGAGCCTGCGAAACCTGCAATCAGACAGGGGAGGGTGATCGGAGAGAGATGAGATGCAAAGGCAAGGCAGAGATGGCAGAGAACAAAGAGCATGCACAAATGTAATACACACACACACACACACACACACACACACGCACACACACACCCGAGCCTATAGCATGCATATGTAGGCACAAACACAGAGGTAAAAAGCAGAGCTCATTAGAGGTTGAAAGAGTAGCGAAGAAAAGAAAAGGCTGTATATTAAAAATGGATGCAGCTGTGCAACGAGTGTGTGTGCGCGTGTGTGCGTGAATTTGCTTTTGTCGACGTAAATGCACACAGCCTGTCATAAAGTTTCATCTCCCACTGTGTCTCCTGCCGCGCTGCCGCCACATAAAAGGCAGCCGCGCATCCAAACGCTCCACAGAGACACCCCAGACTTTTACATACTGGTGGACTCAAACCGCACACTCACCGGCCCCGCCCTTGATGCTTCCCTGGGGGCCAGACATGGAGAAGACGGAGAGACAGTCGTCATCCTGGGAACATCCGGCCTGGATGGCGCGAACGTAGCTGTGGCTGCGAGTGCGGAACACTCCTGGAAGATCCAGGGCTTCGACAGCTTGAGACTCCACCTCCCCGAACATGGTCCCACACACGGCTTCGAACTGACGGTTTAACGTCTCTCCGAGCTGGAGGATGAGAGTTCCTACATCAATACTTGTCTTACAGATGTCAGATGCACAATTTATATCCCCAAAGAAAGTGTCTGTTGAAAGTTTGTGAACCCATTTTTGTCATTTTCTACACAAATATAACCTATAAAGTTATTGCAGCTTAACACAAGTCGTAAAGAAATTTAATTTAGATTCTAGTCATTGAGGAAATTTCGTTCATGATAAATCTCCTGATGTAAGTCAGATTTTTTCTGTGACATACTTTACAGTCGAGTTAACCTTGTAGGTTGACCTCTCCTTTGGAGGGTAACGGTGGTCTTGAATTGGCGTTTATACACATAATCTGTCAGACTGTGGACTGGATTCATTAATGTGCAAAGCTTCTCAGAAATCACCTTTGTCCCATTCATGATTGATCCCATTTTCATATCATTGACTGAAAATCCCTCATCTAATTTCAGCTTCAAATTATGCTCTTTACGCCCTCACAGACATGCACTATTGGATCGTTTTCCTCAGTAAACGAATGACCAGATCAAATCGAGCTTATCGTTAGCTCGGTGCAGCTCAGGCGACATCCACAACGCCAGCCCACATCAGCTAATGCCTCCACTGATGCCATTCGGAACATTAACATCTCATAAAATATGCACTGTTTCAGCCATCCCACGGTTGAAGACATCTGAAGATGCCTTGCAATTCACCTTCATCCCATCTATGCCTTTCATGCCGTATCTGATGTAATCAACGTCAAATCCATTGTCATCTGTGCCTGCTTTGTTCTGTACTGCAGCCTCGCTGGCTTACGTATTTCATGTTTGCAACCGGAAGGACAGGAAGGTCTCAAAACACATCTCTTAGGTCATATTTATGTAGAAAAACAGGCAATTCTAGGAGCGGTTTACACACTTCAAAGCCTCACCCTGCTGTTTGTTACCTGTGTGCTGGTCAAAGAGCGGGTGTAGCTACGGGAGCGGGTGTGGGTCTTGGGTGTGGTTCTGGTGTTAGGGTAAGAATCTGTACACTGTTTACACGAGTGCCTGGAATAAACACAAGCATAAATGTTAGTATTGATGCGTTGTTGCGGCTGTAAACACGTCCGCCATTCGCGTTGCTATTTTTATCAAAAAAAAATGTTTGCAACACAAACAGCTCACCATTTGGCGAGCCATCAAATAACAATTCACTGCATCATGTGTCATAACTGAGCCAGCTGGAGTCATTTTCCGTGCTGTGACGGTGCATTTCCATGTCAATTAGGGAACCATCATTTTTGTTCATTTTATATGAAAAATAAAATCCAAACATTGCAGCAGCTATTATGATGTTCAAGCAGAGCTACAGTTAAATGTGAAAAGGTTCCCAAGGCTGCCTATGTGAAAGTATTTACTGCATAATGCAAGAACATTAACGTCCTTTTTCGGTTTCTTTCCCTATAAACTGAAATCTTGAGAGGAAGAGAGAGAGGAGAGGAAATCTTTTTACTGATGTTTACCACCAAGCTCTGGAATAATTTAGTTTAATAATTCAGTTTATGGTCTAAAATCTTCATTTGTCTAAATAAATGGTGCTTGAATGTTACTGAAATGCGTCTTTATATGTATCTTAAAAGGGTTACTCACTCTGTTTCACACAGAGAGTGAAATCATGTGTACAGAACACAGTGTGCCTCGTCCTAGCTGATGTTTATTGTCCTCTGTGTTCTTTGATTCACCCACTTGTTAAGTGCTTGCTATTAGGGCATTGCTGGGTCACTGAGTTTCTATCTATAATCTCCAGAGTATTTACATGGGCGGAAACAATGATTTGATCGCCCGTTAAATTTGTAAGTCTGCTCACTTACAAAGAAATGAACAGTCTCTCATTTTTATGGTTGCTTCGTTTGAATGAAGAGAGACAGAACATCAACCAAAAAGTATTTGATCACCAATCAAAACATGACTTAGTACTTGGTGGAGAAACTCTTGTTGGCCAGCACAGCAGTGAAATGTTGTAGTTGGTCACCAGGTTTGCACACAGCTCAGGATTTTGGTTCACTCGTCTTTAAAGAAACTCCAAATCAAAGCTCTGCAGATTTTCTATATGACTGAGGTCTGAAGAGTCGCGAGACCACTCCATGGCATTAATGTGCTTCTTCTTTAGCCACTCCTTTGTTTTGGGTCATTGTCATGCTGGAAGACCCATCCATGACCTATTGTCAGTGTTCTGGCTGAAGAAAGGAGGTTCTTGTCCAAGGTTTCATGGTACATGGCCCCATACATTGAGTCTCAATAGGACTACCTGTATAAATAAAGGCCAAATAAAGTAAAAAAAAAAATCTACTGCCCCCTCAATGAGCTGATGCCAAATGATGATGATGCCAAAGAGTTTGATTTCGGTTTCAGCTGACCACAGCACTCTCTCCCTTCTTCTCTGAGCCATGTTTACTTACAAATTTAAGACGGGCCTGTTCCTTTGCCCTCTCGAGCAGGGGCACCTTGTGACTGTGGTCTCAGCTGCCTTCACGCCATTAACATGCTCCACCTGTGTGGTTTTGTCCTGATCCACAACCTTTCTCATGATCATCCTCACCCCATGAGGCAAGCTCTTACATGGAGCTTCAGACAGAATCTGATTGATGGTCATTTTATATTTCTTCCATTTCCAAATAATGGCACCAGCAGTTGTCACCATCCTGACATGCTTATTGTGGATGGTCCCGTAGCAGGTCTAAAATCTTGTCTCTGATGTGCTTTGACAGCTCCTTGGTCTTCCCCGTGGTGGTGGGGAAGTTGGAATTTAAGAAATTGATTCTACGGAGAGGTTTGTTTTACACATATAACAAGCTGAGAACAGGCATATCGGTAATGATTGATTAATCGTAATCTATTCGACACAAGCATAAACACAGACTTCAAATATTTATTTGACTCATTAACATGCATTTCAGTTCATAAAGTTTATGTAACGTGTTTTTTTCTGGATTTTTGTCTGATATTCTGTCTCTCTCCATTAAAATGAAACCACCATAAAATTAAAGACTTATTTGTACGTGAACAAACTTACAAATTGAACAGGGATCAATCTTCCCTTGCTGTACCCTCCTTTATTTACTTTAACTACACAGACATGAATTTTCTGAGTCTGAAAGGATCTTTTGAAATTAATAGTTATCCCAAAATGTGTTTGTAAACATCGGATTTTTATCATGTTACAAACTGAAAATAAAGATTTTGGAAAGCAGGGTTTTTCTAAGGAGGGAGACTTAGACTGTCTAAAAGATATTATGAAGCCATGAGAAGAAATTATCCAATGGTTTTGTATTTTCACCCACACTGTGGAAAATAATGTTGTCCGCATTTAAAGAGTGAGCCTTAAAGGCACAATCAAACAGTGTTGTGTGTTTAAGCTGCAACCTCTTATAAAGTTATGGAAAAGGAATGAATTCTAAATGCAAACCAAAAAAAAGCTGTAAAGTAACATAATGCAGAAATCCTCCTGTGGGGAAATGTTCGCATAAACAGCAACCATCCAAACTAGGACTAACTTGCTATTTTGTTTTTCTGCATTTTGTTCCAGGTTGTTGTTTTTTTTTTCCCTTTGTCATCCCAGTGCTGTCTGTTTCTGTATTTTATTGTTTACTTCTGTGACATCTGTGCAATTCCTATTTGATATGCTATGCTGCTTTTGCACTGCTTAAAAAAAAGACAACCAAACTAAACCAAATAAACTTGTTTTTTTACGGTTTTTGAAAGCAGAGAGTTGAGTCGAGGGTAAATACAAGTATTTCAGCATGAATATAAAAGCTGAATTTGTGCCATCTGACCTTTGATCCATGCTGATAGATCGTCTGAAGGCTTCCCTCTGGGCAATCAGCGTGGACTTGGGCGAGGCTTTGGGACTCGTGTCCGAGTCGGCGCTGTCATCGTCGCCCATGGCTTTGATGTAGCTGCCACTCCGCATGCGACGGCAAGGGATCTCCCCTCCGCTGTCAGCTGCTCCGCCACCGCTATAACCACCACCCCAGTCTTCTGAAGGGACCTGAGGCACATCCACATCCACCCAAACATTCACATGGTCACCATAACTGACCAACTTGTACTGATCTGAAATTGCAAAAGGTAGCGAGTAAAAATGTAACAACCATGTGGGACCAACATGGTTTTAGTAGGTTAAACAGTTAAATGCGTTAAACGTAAGTATGCATTCCTCTTCTACACCCACTGTTAAGGGAAAAGGAATTAGTCATGATGTGAATTAATCAACACCGAGATATTGAAGATGTTTTTTACCGCACTGTTTGCAGTTTCTTCTCAATATCTGCTGTCAAGATCCGAAGGCTTCTCAAAACAGAAATATATTTCTTAATCGAAAAATATTTCACACCTCGAATGGTAAAAGGTTTATTTAGCAGCACAGTTCTGGCCCACGTGCACACAGCGTTGGGTTGGAGGGCAAACACAACCGAAAAGCACTCGTGCACACACGCTCACATGCACATGTATGCATACACGAGTAATGGTGCAAGAGAAAGAGAGAATAGGATGAAGGGACTTACAGAGAGAGAGAAAGTCTGACAGCTGGAAAAACACTGACGCAGAGAAGGAAAAACAACGTAAGCCCAAAAGCCGACAGACGGAGAGCAAATAAATAAAAACAGAGAAAAACAGGTAGACAAGAGAGAGAGGGCAGCAGACAGGAGTGGCGACACGGAGTGGGAGAAAGACATGAACGTGGTGGCAAAAACACGAAACAGAAGACGCAATTTAACAGATGAGCAAATGATTCTGATGGGAAAACAACACACACAGCAGTGCAGTCAAGATAAGAAACTAAAGACAACACAAAGAGAAATATAAAGAATCAATGAAATTAACCCCAAGAATTACGCTGACATGTTCTCACAGTGGCCCTAATGTAAAATACATGAAGGCGTTAGCACACCCAGGAAGAGATCACAGAGTGTCAGTGAAGTTTTGCAAATTCAGCAATTACAGGCAACCATTCAGTGAGTGGGTATCATGTGGAACTACTCCAAAGTTGGGAAGCGAAGTCAAGCATGAAACACATCACATATCTGAGTTTTTTTTACGCTTTGAAAATGACCTTTTGTTTACTTTGAAGAAATAAGACAACATAAAACAACACATTAAAAAAATTCTAATCAAACAACCTCAGCTAACTGATTAGCATTGAGATTCAGTCTGGAGCTGCTTTATTGGTCTCAAATTACACAAAGCATGAAAGATGTCTTGACTGGTATTTTCTCAGCTAGTTTCTAAATGTGTGTTGTGCTGAAATGAGGCACATGCTAAATGCTAAAGTAGCATTTGGCCAGTCTTTGGATCAACAACCTAAAACAAAGAACTACAGGAGGCTAATAATGGCACTATATGCTTAGACACCACTCTACATTAAATTATTCATTATTCCACAGTACGTCTTTTGTCCCATCTCCCTCCTCTCACCCACTAATGCCACTAATGGCTGCTTCTGCCTAAGCCTGGTTCTGCCAGGCTGTTATAAGCAAGTTTTTTCTTCCCACTGTCGCCAAGTGCTTGATCATAGTGCGTCATCTGATTGTTTTCTCCGTATTACTGTAGCGTCTTTACCTTACAATATAAAGCCTTTTGAAGCAACTGCTGTTTTGATTTGGCACTATATAAATAAAATAAAATAAAAGTGAATAAATAACCAGATATTCAGACATTTGGATATCCAAATATCTAGTACTGAGAGAGTTTTGGTGACAATGGGCTGATCTTTGTTTATCCTTCAGCGCCACGTCAGGAGCTGTGCACAGGTTGAAGGAGGAAACTAACAACAATGGCTCAACACTTATAAATTACATAAAACATAAATTTTCATGACCATAAAAGACAGCACAATGTAGTAAAGTTTATATTTATGGTCCAATTATTATACTTCAATATACTAATTAATGAATAACTCGTTATATGTATAGACTATTATGTATTTACTTTGTTAGGAAAGTCTAAAGACTAACTTGATGTTGCCTTACACATAAAAAATATAATTACAGGACTCCTGATCGCAGTGCTGAAGACAGCGTAGCACCAGTGTTCGGTAACAGTCAAAACCCAGAACTGATCTGAAAAATCTCAGTAGAGCTGATGAGAAATGCAGAATTAGGTGATGAGGTCACAGGGGTATTTCTCGCCACGAGTGACCCCTTATGTTGACAAGCGCAGCTTTAATTAGCATCATAGCTCGTGAGTATAGCTGTTAACCTTGCACGTAACATGCTACTATTGTGGAGGACCACTCACTTTGATATGTGTGTTTATATATGTGTGTGTTCACTCTTTCCCAGTATGAGGAGAGTTTTCCACCATCCACACGCTAACAGCAGCTGTTTTGGCTGAAGGACCTCTCAGCCTTTCATTTTAGTTTTCATTTTTTTGTAAATGCTGTCAGGTGCAGCTTCATATACGAGCATGTGACCAACACCTGCACCCAGACACACACACAGCCAAGGCCCCGGGGTCTGGCATCCAGCTGAGTGTGTGTTTTTAAGGTCATCACTTAAAAGATGATTCAGCCTAATCTCGTGATCCCCGTGGCCGTCCACTATCTCTCTCATTTCCTCAAACGCCCCTTTCTCTCCTCTTCTTGCTTTGCCCCTTGGCTACCATCACCTCTTTTATCTCTTTTCTATCCCTGAGCTTGCTGTACCGTCTCTAGGTCCCTCTGCATTCGTCTTTTCTAACACTCTTTGTCCCTTTGCTCTTCTTTTCATTCCTTTTACTCCATATTCAGCTTTTTTTTCCCCTCGGCCCTCTTTTCTTTTTTAATCATTTCATATCTATCACACACAGGCTGAGGGGAAGGTGAGAGGCTCAGGGAACGGAGAGCATCAGGTTCTGATGCCACACATCGTGATTGGTGTTGACGCCATCCCTTTGCCTCTGACCGTAGACTTGCGAAGATTCACTTACATTTATTGCTAGTCGGTCCTGACTCTTTGCAGTAAACCTGTGTAAGTATTAGCTTGTATGTACATGTTTGCATTTTTTTTACACATGGAAATAACATACAGCAGGTAGACTGACCCTGCAACGAGAGAGGGACTGCTGTAGCATACTTGAACTGATTTAAAACTGACCATGTGTTTTATGTTTCCAGGTGCTACAAAAACTATTTAGTCAGCGCTTTGTAGAGCTTTTTTCTTAATGTGAACCAACCTACATTTAGCTCTTCACTTTTGACTGTTTGCATAAATCCAGCAGATGTAGAGCCAATTTATATTCAGTCATAACATGGAGAAATTCGAAGTTTAATCTAGTGTGGAGGAGAGAGGAGGATGAAAGCGAGGCTGTCGATTTATTGACTGACCTAGGTCCTGACCCTCACCTACAGCTACAGGTAGTGACCAAAAGAATAAGTTGGACTAGAAAGAAAAATCATTATAATGATCTTTCTTTCTAGTCCAACTTGTTATTCACGTATAATAAAAATGGAATTAAAAAAAAAAAGAAAGATCATGTTTCTCACATTGTGGCTGCTCAATTTCATTGCAATTAAATGCAGAACTGAATTTAAAACCCTTCTCTTCACATCCAAAGTTCTGATAGATCAGCACTCATCGTATCTTAAACACCTCATATTACAATATTACCCCAATAGAGGACTTTGCTGTCACAGTTCAAGCTTACTTGTGGTTGCTAGAGTTTCCAAAATATGAAATAGTACTCCTCAGCCTCTTTGAGGATTTTCAGAAATCAGGTCATTGAGAATCGAACTTGTCAGAGATTTTTAGTAGTTGCACCTATAGTATGAATTTCATAATCCTACGACAGCTCATTCTTGAGTTATCGCATTCACAAAATTGGGTGTCCACGCCACTTGCCTGCACGGCAGGGTGACGACAATAGCCCATCAGCCTTTTACGGCTTAGGGGTAGAAATGTGCAGCTGAGCTATCAGCTATACTATATGGATAGAAGTACAGTGCCACCTAAATATCACACCATAGGAGCTGCTCAGCCATGGGAACCATGCTGTGAAACACCCGACACACTGTTTTTGTGCTGATGTTCATGTAAGAGGAAGTCTGGAGCTCTGCAGTTAGTGAGTTAGGAGAATGTTGGCCAACTTGATACACTTTGTGTCGACCGCGCTCTGGTCTGACTCACTTGGTTGAATTGCTGTGGTTTCACCCACAAATATACTAATTACAGTTGATTGTGGAATACCTAGGAGGGAAGATATTTCACAAAGTGGTTTATTACAGTGCTGGCATCCTGTTGAAGCACCACAATCAAATTCAATTAGCACTTTAGAAACTTTCACAAATGTTTGTAAAGGCAGGGTGCTTGGTTTTCCAGACCTGTGGAAATGGAATTTCTTTTTTCGGCTTCTCTTTTATGTCGCCACAGCAGATCATCTCCCACCATCTCGGCCTGTCCCTTGCACTCTCTTTCTTCATGCCAACACTCTGCATGTCTTTCTTCAGTAGAGCACTTCTGTGCATATAGTGACTCAGACCCCTCTGTTGTTGATCCAGCTTCCACTTTGGGTACTTTTAAGATTAGGCCTGAAACTCTCCGATTTTGATAAACTTAATGTTGGTACTATATTGGTTGATCCTGAAACACTTGTATCTGAATTTTCAATAACTTTGTGTCTACTCTCTTCTTTCCCCTCACTCCCACAGGGAAGGGGACGCAGATGGCTGGCCCTCCCTTAGCTGTGGGTGGTCTCTTCCTGTTAAAAAGCAGTTCTTCCTTCTCTTCATGGCTAAGTGTTCATTCACAGGGGATCGTCTGATGGTTGTTATTCTCTTACTAATATTGCAGAGTCTTTACCTTACAATATAAATTATTTGCCAGTCTCTTATTACAAGTGCCACCTTTAATACACAAGTGATAGAGTTTAAAGGCAGCTGTTGGGTGTATGATATCTGCTCTTGCTTTCTCAGGCAGTTTCAATTTGGAGTTGTTGCACCTGTGTGGCTGTTAGTCCTGACATTTCATCTGGGTGAAACAGACCTGAACAGCTTTATATCTGCAGCTCCAGTGAGCTGTCTGCTCTGAAGCCGTGGATCAATCTGGCCTGTCCTGGCACATCTAAGCCGGGCACAAAATTCACTCAACACACTGTCTCTGCGCGCCTCCCCAAACCACCGGTGACACCTGGATATACGATTAAAGCTGCAGCAGGGGAAGTTCATTTCGTGTCCTAAGGTGAGAATGTGATGGTAGCCTAAAGCACGGGGTAAATTGTGTGGGGTTTGTCCTCAGAAAAGCACGAGCACACAGACGACCCTGCTCTCTCTGTCTCCTCTATCAGCAGACCTCAGCTGTGTCTAAAGGATGAGAGTTGGAAAAACACCAGGGACTCCTGTGGCTACCTGCTGTTTCCGTAGAAACACAGCCTGCATGGCAGCTCTACCTCAACACAGCTGGAGGTTTCTGAGCTCGTGCTTGTTTTTGTGTGTCTGTGTGCGTGCGTGTGCTTTCTGAGATGCCACTGTAACAGCCAATAACAGTCTTTAATTAACCTTTTCTGCCGTTTTAGGAGATAAAATGAGTGAACGGGTTCTCTGAAAATTGCACGCGGCAGATTCAAGCTACAGCGTGTTGACAGGAGGCAGGTAAGCGACTGTTGTAAGGGACAGGTAAATAACACGGTTTGTGAAGATGATTATTGTTTTCTGACTCACAGCAAAATGCCAGGAGAGTCCATCTGGCCTCTTAGGCAGACATTTAACCAAGAAAAATCTATACTTTCCACTTGATTTTTTTGAAACTTTTATTTAAGAAAAAGGGTTTTTTATGCTTTTGAAAAATTCTTGTTAATTTCCCGATTAATCCAAAGGCTTTACCACAAGGATCTTACCCATCTTTGTTTGTATTTTCTTCTTCTATTTTTTTTAAACAAAAATTGGCTGTGTTGCTATTAAAGGTTTGTTTCTATAGCAGGAAGATGAAATTTTGAGTAACTGAATACCTTTACTTGTGTATTCAACTGGAAAAACCAGGGTCTAAACCAAAATTGTAGGGACAATGGTTGCTTTTCTTTCCTTGAAACAATTAACCTTTGGAGGGACAAAGCCTAAATTAAAATCAATGGGTATTTTACTTCCCCAGCAGTCATCGCTCAGTGGGTAAAACTTTAGAAACTTAAGGATGGGCTTGTAGACCTAAACTTTTCTGATTGGCCACTTGAGCAATCAGAAAAGCTCTACAAAGCAGTATGTCTTTGTCGTCTTTGACAAAGACAAAGATGACAAAGACATCTTACTTTAAGAGGTATCAGAGAGATTGCTGGTTACTATTTTCACACATACACTGTGCACTCACTACTAGATGCAATAAAAAAAAAAAAAAAAAAAAACTAGTGCTCTGCAGTGAGAAAACTGTTATTATTTTCTATGTTATATTTTTTCAGCTCTGCACCTTCCTCACATGGTGGTGAGGTAGTGTCTGCACTTTTTCCTATTTTTTGTAAACGTTTAGCCAATTAGCACATTAAAGCATAAGCTATAACTGGATAGCCTATAGGTCAAATTTCAGTCTGGTGGTCAATAAGGAGAAAGACAGAAGACAGATTGCCTATAGGAGAAATGTCAACTTAGCACGTCGGCAAGTGTAAACTGTCAGCATCCGACAGAGCCTACAGTCCTGCCTCCTGGGGAAGATCTTGGTTGTGGTGTAGCAGTGCTAACACTATTAGACCAGGGAAATCTGGAAGTTGGCTTCACTCTCTGACATTGTTTGTGGAAGAAACGTGTGTATTATATTTAACAATTTCCTATAGTTAAAGCTATTTGATGTTCGCCAGAGAAATGCAGGTGAAACTAAATTGTTTGTCACTTATCACCACTGAACCTTGGAACCTTCTGGCAGACTGAGTTTTAACTTTAAAGACATCAAATACTCCAAAGAATGCCAGGGGGAGATGCCAATCATGGCAGCATGGTTTCCGTTTATTTATATTAAATCATGTGTTTCATACCTTAAATCATATCTATTGGGGTGTCCAGAACATAACATAAAAGCAGTAATTAAAAAAACAAAACAAAAGGAATACAGGGTGTACTTGTACTGTATATTCTTTGCCTGTGGCAAATTGTTGCCTTGATCTCGTGGACGTGATAATCCATCCATGGAGAATGTAAATGTCCAAGGCTGTCAGATCACTAAATCATCTTTAACCTGCCAGCTTCCAAATACAAAGTCTGTATGACGTCCAATTGAGACAATTTACACGAAAAGCTGGAGGTAGTTTATGCAGTTTTGATGAATTCACAGCGAGTACGTGGTAAGCAACACCCTCACTTAAATCAAAGTTTTTCCAGTACTGACATGTGTGTGTGCTACATGTGTTTTTTTCTGATTGTTTCACAGCACTTATGTTCTAAAGCACAGCTATACAAGCCCATACTTCCCCACAAGCCTGTGAAGAAGGCACTGCAATGACAGATTTTGTGTTATAACTGAAGAGCAGGCTTCATCTTGTCTAGATGCCCTGCGTCTGTGTGTCTGTACTGGCTGTCAAATATACACATGGAGATGCAACACTGACTGAGAGCAGAGGCAGAAGATGTGAGATGGTCGACACGTTTTTATAAAGTCCCGTACACAATGATAGTTGTCGTTATGGCAGCGGACTAATTAGCCTAATCTTCAAGGGTCTGAGACAGTGGAAACAGAAAAACAAAAGTTCAAGACAATCTTTTCATTCCTTAAAAAGAAGTTTGTTTTTTTTTTGCTTAACACCAAACCACATATATATTTGATTACACATTTGCTGATATGTAGGGACAGACACACCTGGAGATAGTGGAAGGTCCTCTCCTTGAGCTTGCTCTCAATGGGCACCAGGGCTTTGTCATAGGCTCCTCCTCTGGTAGAAGGATACACCTCTCTAGCCTGACTCACTGTCATGGCTGACCAGGTGCTCCTCTTCAGGGAGTGACCGTGATGCCCGTGCTGTCCTCCTCCTCCCTCACTCCCCACCAGAGCCATTGTTGTGCAGGCCATGCACTCCCCAGACCCCGGTCCGCCGCCTCGTTCCTTGGGCTTCTTCATGGTGAGCTCCTGAATGGCAGCATCCAGGCTCTCATGTCCTCTGGGATACCCCGGTCTACCCCCACCTACCAAGTAGCTGCTGTCACTGTCGAGGTTGTCATCGGAGCTCCACCAGCCCGCTGTCCGGCTGCGGTGGCGTCTGCCTGACTCATGCCGCGAGTCTCCACTCTTGCTACGTTCTCGAGACTTGTTCCTCCTGGTGGAGCGAGACTGGTGGCCTGAGTAGTGGCCCTCCTCCCCTCCACTCCTGTGGCCCCCACCTCTCTCGCTCCGGTAGTCCCCTCCTCCCCTTGTACCGTTGTATTCCCGTTTGGATGGCGCCTCCAGGGAATGGGACTTGGCAAAGAGGCGCTGCACCGAATTGACCAAGTGGCGTATGCGCGAAGGGCTCTCACTGCGTTGCTCAGCACCCCCACTGGCAGTGCGCTGGTATTGCAGGGTGTGGAAGCCATCATGATGGAAGGGCACCTGCTTCTCGAACTGGTCCATCATGTTTGAGGGCATGCGGTGCATCTTCCCCCCGTGGCCTGAGGATAGGCACTCTTCACAAGAGTCAAATGACTGGAGAGGTGGGTGCTGGTTGGGGTGGGAGCGGGGAAAGGTGCCTCCTCCAGAGTGACTATGGGAGTGTGAGCGGGAGTGGTGCCTCTCCAGCGCCAGGGCCTCAACCGGACCTCCCCCAGGGTAAAAGTGGCCATCGCTGTGACCGTGGTAGTAGTCTCTGCCTGGACCGTCGCAGTCATCAGGCGTGCAGTGGCAGGGACCTCCTCCACCACCACCCGAGGAATGCTGAGACATACTCCGGCTGACATGGTACCCTTTCATAGGCGCCGGGGCATGGTGTGCCGTCCGGGCCGAAAGGGGGCGCTGTGGGCGTGACAGGGCTGCACCTCACTCACCTGGTGAGAAAAACAAGAAATAATGTGAAGACATTTTATTTAAGTGTAGCAAAGGAACAACGATTGCAATGTTGTAGACTGTTTGGATGAGAGTTATTTTTTTTGTCTAATTAAGCCTCTCATACCTGTGAGAGAGGACTAAGACCTCAAAGGGATGTTTTTTTTTTTTATAAAACTTTGAGTACAGTAATAAGGTAAGATTAGAGGCTCACATATGGGAGGTGTAGCGATGGGACATTTGTGGTAGGAAGTAGATTTTATTGATTGATGTCAGGATTATTTTCTTTCTTCTTTTCTTCTTTTTAATGCGTGAATTGAAAGTGAAAACAATACATAGCTTTTTTTCTGATTAACATTTTTATTGATGTTACACTTCATTTTTTTACCTAACCAAAGACAAAACAGAGCAAACGTGAACATTCATCCCACGGCTGCAATAAGCGGCCGGAGACAGCTTTCCTCTTCTTATTCATCTCTAAGACTGCAGGGCAGATAAATCACGAATATTAGCCTTTCTTTCTCTCTCAGCGTGTATCTTCAGTTGTTCTTCTCCCTCTATCTAACAGCTTTTGCCCCTCTTTGACATTTATCGTTTTATTCATCTGCCCAGCGCTCCGTGTTGTCTGTCGTTTTCTCCATCCAGGCCTGCAGGGAGTCTTTGAGCATCCCTGTGATTTAAAGCCGAGGAAAACAGGTTGTATATTGATTACCTGCATCCCAATGCAAAGGAGCTAGAGAGTGGCTGCAAGCATCCAAGCATACTGCAGAGGGATTTTGGCAGATGATTACCAAATGAACAGCAACATGATATCCATGGGACTAGGTGAAAACCAACCCTACTGTTGCCTCGAGAGGATGAAAGTGTAGTGGGATGATGGGATCCTCTCCACAAAGCTAATGCAGGACCTGAAACTAGTGTACCTTGTCAAGCAGCAGTAAAACCTAAGTAAAAGTAAACAGAATGTAAACAGGATGAGGGCTATCTCTGGGTTTTCTTTCTCCTCATGACACGGATAACAACTGAGATTACATTCCAAATGTGGTAATCATGTATTTCATTGGACTGGCATTAATTGCTGCTGGTGTAATCACATCCTCTATTAACCACTTCTCCACTAACTATATAATGAATCACGGGCACACAGCCTGTTCATAATGCACACGAGCATTTGCCATCATTTCTAAATTTGATTAAATTGAGATTGAATTACTCGATGCGAGCCAATATCGAGCTGCTCGGCTGGATGGGATTCACTGAGCTCCTGCGAGTGTATTTGCACTTGTGTTTGCTGGCTTTCACGCTGAGATGAGAGATAGGGGACAGATGCTGGGATAATCATTAAATAGAGCGTGGCCTGTTTGCCTTGATTGGCTGAATGAGAGCTGCCACCCAGAAAGCTCACCCACATCTAGCCGTGTCATTGGTGTGGCCGTGACGACGGGCCTCTCCAAGTCAGTGTCCAACCATGGACAGATTTTAGACAGTTGTGCCACCTGGGCGGACTGAGCCACCTCTCATTAACTCTGTGGCTTTATGATCATTTCACTGCCAAAAAATAAAACCTGTAAGCATTTTCCTTTTTTACAAGGTATAAGCAGTGCACAATTCCTACGGGGAAATGTAACAATGCTGCCATTACTGTGCAATACTCTGCATGTTGCAGTGAAAACAACAAAAGCCCAGAAGCTAATAATGACAGTAAAGTCAGAAGCTGTGACATTATGAATTATTATCATCTTCCTTTTGTCGTTCTATCCCGCATTCCATGGTTGTGTGTTTGTGTTGCTTCCAGCAGGAGTGTTTTGATGTTTTTTAAAAATCAGGTGGCAAATGGTGACCCCTTAAAAATACTTGAAAATTCTGATAGTGGGTAGATCTTGTGTCTCCATAAACATGAATTAGAAGATGGGACTGCCCTATGACAACACAGTAGTAATGCTGAAGCACAAGATTTAACCTCAAGGTAATGGAGCTGACAAAATACACTCTGGTTATGTTAATTTCTAGTCTTTCAGCTACACTAGTAATAAAAAAAAGTGGTGTTTTGGATCCCATTATTAACACAAACATTTCAGTCCAAACCGATATAGTTTGGATTATTCAACATTATATAACCACAGTTAAAAAGATTAATCGAGAAGGAGAACTACTAATACTACTATACAGTCAAGATAGTATCCATCTTGGTTGAACAATGGGACGGTCTAAGGAGCTCAGTGAACATTTAAGAAGGAGAATGATAGACTCACATAAGCTTGTAAGGTCTCTTGGAGTGATTTCTAAACAACTGCAGATTCCAGGATTATCATTACAAGCAATTCTATGTAGGTACAAGTTATTCAGATATATCCCCAGTCTGCCAAGGACTGGAAGAAGACCTAAACTGTCACCCTCAAATGAGAGGAAATTGGTTAGGATGTTCAACAACAACCCGGGAGCTGTTTACCCTGATTGTTTGCATGTTTGGAGGCTTTCAGACCTAAGAACACTGTACCAACAGTCAAGCATGGCGGCAGTAGGATCATGGGCTGGGGCTGTTTAGCTGCCAGTGGTACCTGTACATTGCACGAAAGAACAATGAAGAAAGAGGACTTCCTTCTTCAAATTCTTCAACCTCACCTCAAGTCAACAGCTAGATGATTGAAACTTGGACACAATTGGGCGCCTCTACTGGCCAATACTCCTTTTGTTTGAAATGCAGAAAGCAGACTAACCTTAAGCTTCTTGGTCTGGTCCGAAAACCAAAAAGTTTAAATGAACATTAACAATTGAAGCAATGTTCGGATAATATAGCAGCTAGCATTGGGTATTAGTAAGGCCCCAGTAAAACAGGCTTGGAGACTCGTTAGCAACCATTGGTCTCCCTAACCGACTGTGAGTGATTGCTGAGAGCTGCTGTGAAATCGATTGCTAAGCTGTCACACAGGCCTAAAGACCAATCAACGATCCCATCGTGAAAACCTTGAGAATGACGGTAGTAGGGCTGGGCGATATATCGAGTTTTTTAAAAATATCGATATATTTTTATACGAGATATAAGATGTGACAATATCTTTTATATCGATATAGTCTATGTTACGTTATAATTATAGTTGTGGAGCCGCAAGTTTGCCTCTCTTTTGTCCACTTTTGTCTTTACGCAACGTTAAGATGGACACGGCAAATCTCCGTTAACGAGTTACTGCGCATCGCCCCGTGCGTGGGGCTGGACGGCGTCAACGTGTTAATGAGCTAACCACGCTAACGAGCTAACCACGCTAACGCCATGCACGGCCTGAAATCCTTTAATTTTCTCAAAAATCGACAGTGCGCCTAATGTATGAATTCTGGTTGTGGTTGATGACCGCGAACCGATTTTATGTGGAACAC